CAGGAATGGGCATGGCATCATTTTCTCCTGTGGGCAGAGGCTAAAACTGTCAGACTGGCATAACTTCCCAGGTCTGATGGCAAGGGATTGGACAGGAGCTGCAGGAAGACCTTCCTGCCCTCCCTTCTTTCTGGCTGTGCTGAGATCTGCCAAGGCTGCTAGGTGGACATGAAGGCTTGTATTCTAAGACTTTAGACATGGAGGAGTAGTGATTTTTTTCTTCTTTTTTTTTTTTTTGTTTTGGTGGAGCTGGCTCCCTAGTGCAGTGGTTAAGTGCTAGACATAGGAAATCAGATCCCCCATGGTCAAGGGCAGTTCAGATCCCAGCTCCTGTGGCTTGTAAAACATGCTGAGCCCGGGGGTGTGCCTGCCCCAAATCCTGACGGAATGGAGAACCTGGAGAAGAAGGGATTGTGGTGTGACCATGCTTTTCTCTTTCTGGCAAATGCACACACCTTCTGGAAATAAAAAAATAATAATAATTTTGTTTTGGTTTGTATGAGAAATTTATAGGAGAAATTACATTTAATCATGGCTCTCTTAAATGGAAAGAGACTCAAGTCGAAGTTGAATATTCCAATCATTTCAGACAGGTTTTCAACTTACTCCATTCAATGGGGTACCTGAACCAGCCTGTCTGAAGATGCTTTTGTTTGGTAGGATGAAGAAAGCAGGCAGCTGACTTTCCTCGGTGGGAGAATTCAGTTGAGCGAGGATGAGGATGATAGGGAGTAAGAAAAGACTGTCGGGACCAGTAGGTGGCGTGGTGGTTAAGGTGCTGGACACTCCCACATGGCCGACTGGGGTTCAAGTCCTGAATCTGGTGACTTGCTTTCTCACTTCCTCTCTCTCTCACTGTCATCCTCTGCCTCTCTCTGATCAAATTAAAAAATAAATGAATGAATAAATAAAAAATAAAATAAATAAATATTTTAAAAGAAAGAAAGAAAGAAAGAAAGAAAAGACTCTACAAGCCCAGTGTTTCGACTGCATTTTGTTTCTTTGTGTGACAAAGCACGACTGGGCCAGTAAATAGATCACCAAGCCAAGAACCAAGAGACACGGTTAAAGGTGGGCATAAATGCCACTGAAGTCGGAGAGAGAAATTATAAAAAAAAATCCTGATAATCAGGGGCAAGCCAGGAACTTGGAACCTGATCGGAGGGACTAGGAAAGTTCCCCAGAAGTGTGCGTGCCATGTGGTCTGTTTCAGCCCTTCTTCGGAAGAGTCTTAATTCTAGTTGCAGGCATATAGGTGTCAACAAAGAAGCTTCTTTTTGTTTCACTATCATGATGAAGTGATGTGGGGTCCACGGGAGCAAGGTTTTCCTTTCCTGACACATTAAGAATGAAGCCTGAGGGGCCAGCAGTGCTGTGGTGGTTAAGGTACTGGACTCCAATATGGCTGAACATGGTTCAAGTCCTGGACCCAGTAGCTCTAAATTTACACCAGGTCTGTGCGCATGCGTGCCCAAAATCCCAAGAGGAGAATGGAGAAGAAGGGATTGTGGTATGGCCATCCTCCTGGGGAGGGGGGGTGGTCCCTTTCCCTCTCTCTGTCTCTCTCCTCTCCAGTGAGGACATGAGCCCTATGACGGAAACCTAAATAAATAAATAAATTAATTAATTAATTAAACCAGCACCACATTGCTCGTCTTGAAGAAACGACCAGGGTTTGTGTCTCTGGTGGCCCAGTAAGAAGAAAGAATCAACTCTTGATTGATGCAAGACATTGAGAGCAGTTTTATCACTCAGTGTTCGGCCAAGGAGACCCAGTTGAAATGACAAAAAAGAGAAAGAAAAAAAAAGGGGGAATGACAAGTGAGTTGCACATCCCCAGACCAGATCAATTCAGCACAGGCTGTCTTCTCTGCCTGGCTCACTCCTGAAAAGAGAGAGACAGAGAAATAGCACCCCAACAGGATCTTAATCCTACAATCCACTTCCAGTCTCAGCCATCCCTGGATCTCCAGCACACGCATGCCTGGTGTGTTCAGAGATTTCTCGAACCGGGAACCTTCCGATGTGGGTTAGCCTTGCAGAGCATTGCATGACGCTGCCCCACCATCTGACCCTGTCCTCATTTTGTCTCTCCATTTGTTTAGTTCTGTATCTTGAAGTATACTTGTCAGTGTTTTTCCAATTCCAAATCTAAGATTTGGTTTTATTCATTCTTGCCTTCTTTTGTGATATGGGACAATTTTTTTCCCTTGGAAAGTTAGGCACCCCCCACACTGCCCCTTCACCTCCATTGAATGTGTGCTGGTGGCTTCAAGGACTTGACACTTGGGGATGATTTACAACAAGATTCTGGTGTGGCACTTACATTCTGTGTTCTCATCCTTCCCAAAGCCACCAGCGTCCGTCCCTGGGCCTCAAGTCTGCGTCTCAAGAGCGCATGAGTCCAAATAACGTGATAGTTTTGGCCCCAGAGAAGCCATTCCTGGGTCTGCCTTAAACGATGGTGGGGTGAAGTGAGGGAGGGATCAAGAAATCCAAGCCTGGAAAATATTAATGATTAGGATATGAATAGGTCTTTTCATTAAAAGCAAAAAACAAACCAACAAGCCCTGTCCAATCCTCTTCCAGCAGGGCCTCGATGTGCCACTTGTGTATGTGCAAGTGTTATCCTCGGTGGGCGGAAATGGCAGACAGCCAAGTGGAAAATTTCACAGCCCACAAACGCTCCGTACGCTAAACGCTGCGAACCAGCCCTCCCAGGGAGCCGGGCGGCGTGCTCGCCATAACAGCGTCCTGCACAGCCCCCTGCACACCCTCTTTCTCTTGGCTTCCTTTGCCCGACCTTCGCTTCTTTCTCCAGGAGATCAGATGTCTCCATTCTTGCTCCCCTTCTCCCTTTGACCCTGGCATAGGAGCAGGTCGTGTAGAGGTTTGGGTGCTGGGGTGTTCCAGGGACCGGGGATTGCTGGTGCCGGGCCAAACCTGGCTTTTCTATTCTGGCCCGAGGTGCAGGAGCAGAGCCCTGACCACCTAGCATCTTTGTGCTTACATGGTCCCTTTCTTCTCGGGGACTGTGAGTGCTCTGCAAAAGTGATCTTATTGATCTTCCCTGTCCAGCGAGGTATGAAAATGGTAAAAAGTGACCGTCCCCGCTCCGGTTGGCAGCGAGTAAAATCAAGTGGCTTGTTTTGAGGCTGTGTTGCAAGTTGCAATTCAGCTGGGATTGCATTTGACATCTCCTAGAGCTGGCTTCAATTTTATGGTTTGGGGGGAGGTAGCCACGTCCTGCTGTGTCCCCTGGGATGAGGGCAAGCATGTTGAATTCCTTTTTTGAGAAAAAGGTACCGGAATATGGTCTTTGGTGAATTATCAATTAATCTAATTGATCAAGAGACTTCATGTGTTGAGCGAACGAGTGATTTGCTGAGACATGTATTTACCTTTTGCTTTTTCTTCTGTTCTCTCGCTAGGTATTTCTCACTTCTCTGTGAAAGGAAAACACACCCAAGCCCAGAGCCCTCCAGCGTCCGTGGGAGATTCCACCGTGAAGTACAGGCGGAGACCACGTGAGCAGTGCGCAGTGAATGTTGTAAGTTAACCACCGAGCACGGCACCTGCACTGGCTTGCCTTGTAAGGATTCGGAGTCGTTGCACGTATCTGAGCCAGGGTGCTGAAGGGGTATCGCATTAGCTATAGGTGATCATCCAATTAATTTCTGTCTTTAGCGGAACAGGTTCTGTTTGTATTTGCCGTGAGCTTGCCTTTCCCTCGGCTGCTAGGAGAGCAGAGTGGGAGACAGTGATTCTTTCATTGTAGAAACGCCCTTGCAGTTGGTGAGTTCAAGTCGGATCAGGTTTAGAGCAGCATTTTCATGGGGCAGTGGCAGTGCTCTTCGGTTTGTGAGGGAGGGGTGGTATTCTTCAGGCTGAGGATCAGCAAACAGGATTCCTATCCAGCAGTTGTTCTTATTTATGTAACATTTTTTATTAGAACAGCACTTTTTGCCCTTGGCTTTAAAATCTTAAGGTTTGCAAGTATAAACTTGGGTTTTTTAAATGTTTATTCAGAATTGGATGTTTTCTTTCTGTCTTTTTTTGATCTGGTTTGGTTTTATATTAGTAAAGTAATTCTTGCGTGTTGGCTGATGGCTACCTTTCATGAGAAGTTTTAGTATAGATTGAGCATCCCTAATCCAAAATCTGCAACCCTTGAGTGAGACATGGTGCCACAAGTGGAATATTCCACACCTGACCTCATGTGACAGGTCACAGTCAAAATGTGTAATATATATTATACACACATACAAATTTAAGTTTCCAGCTTAACAGTTATCAGAAAAATTCCAGCTTCTTCATTCTTGTCAGAAAACTTTTCCAGGTGTTGATTATTTATTCTTTTCTAGTTCCCTACAAGACTTGCAAAGAACAAGATGCTACACAAACTCTCAGAGAGAAAAACCATTAACACTAAGAAGAAAAAATCCCACTGAATTTTTTTTTAATTTCATGGGTTTCTAAATATTTACATTAAAATACACCTATGTATACGTATTTTTTCAGGCTTGGTTGGTCATGTTAAAATGAACTTATTCCGTTTAGACCTCCCTAGTGCCCCACAGTCGGCAGACACTGAGGGGCGCGGGTGTTTCTAGGTGTCTCCACTTTTACAGACGATCGCGTGGTTCTAAGGGAGAGTGTATGCTGCTGCAATCGATTGAGCGGCCTGATTTCCATTCCACGTCCTACCATCAAGGTCAAGTGAAATCATAACCTTGGGCAAGTCACTCGCCCCTGTGAAGTTGCATTTTGTAAGCCCTTATGTCACTCAGAGCTGGCTGTTTGCTGGGCAGTCAGCTTCTTGGTTGGGGCCCCTGTCAGGGGCGTGGAGCATGGCGTAAGGCACTCAGAGACACATTTAAAAATCACTCTTCTTGTGAAAGTTTCTGCCACCTTCAAGGAATAATATGAGGCCCTGGTCGATTTGGGCATTGTGGTACCAGTATGTTTCCCTGGAAATCGTTTTCCCATCCAGATCATTGTTAGAATGCCATTCTGATGATATTTTTAAAATTATTTTTATTGTAAAAACCAAGTACCTTACAGAAAAGTGCTTTAGGTTCCAGGTTCTTTATTTAAACGGGCAGTGTAATGACTGTAATTAAGGTAGTTTTTGTTTCAGATCTGTTGGTGTGTTTTGGGTTTTTTTTTTTGGGGGGGGGAGGCTTGTTTGTTTGTTTTAATTTTAACTGTTGCTTTGAACTGCTCATGTGACACTGGGTCAAACCTTAGACATCAGGTGAGGTTTTCAAAGAGGTTCTGAAGCGTTGACTTGAAGATACCACATGGAAGACTTAAGTTTGAAAATCCCCCTGTAAATAGAGTGTGTTGTGAGAGGAAGAAACCCCTAAATCCTAGTGAGCTCCATCAGCATGCCAAGGACCTTCTTTTCAAAACTGCGTTTGCTCAAGAGAGGAGGGGGCTCTCCATTTTCTTGGTAAATTTTGATATTAGTAACTTTTGGACTCTTGGTATATTTTTACAATACAACACCAAGTTTGTGTTTCACCCACACTTAGTGCCTGTGAGCCCCAAGACCTCCACTGTGGAGGCACAGGGGATGACAGTAGAGGGGGCAGGCGGTGTTCAGAGATGTGGTGTTTGCACCTAGACAGGGTCTGGGCGTGGGTGTGTGACTGCGTGAGTAACCGGTATGGCAGACTTGGGAAGGAGGGGTTCCCATCCCACTAGGCTCCAGACTACCCCGCACACTCATGACTCACGGCCTCGACTCGTCTGCATGTCCCATGAATGGCCTCTCTATTGGCTGCCATCTTGGTAGCAGATGACCTTTGCCCTAAAGGTGCCTCCCACTGCTCTAAGGTGTGGTCTCTTGTGCAAGAAGGGAGTGGTAGTGAGAACTGAAGGAAGACTCTGGAGAGCTGGGTTTGGGGCACGGTGCCACCGTCAGCTGTGTGACCTTGGGCCCTCCACCCCTGAGGCCCATCTCCTGAGAACATGAAGTCAGAAGACATCCCGCGGGAATCCTGGCTCTAAGTGTGTAGCATCGCATAAGGGGTCAGCCTGGGATTCGGCAGGCTGCCCCTCACTTTACCCACTTTTCCTCCTCAAAGTCGCAGTTTGGCATCGCCTCACTTACAGCTTTGAAAACACTGAGCACCGTCTTGTGATTGAAAATAGAGAGAGTGGTGTTGTCCTTACAGTGGGGCTCCACAGGACCCTCTTGGGCACTGTTTCACGGTTCAGAAATATCCACGTGAGCGGTTCCTAAGAACGTCGTCATAGTCATTTAAATGTAGGGTCCCACTCATTAGTCGTTTGGAAAATCACACAGGACCTGCTTTTGAACTTGACTCTCTTCAAACCTGCGTCTCCGACGCTGTTTAGAATTTAGCACGGAGGTGTTCTGCTTCTTGCCCGAGCCCTCTGCTTCCTTCAGTGGACATGTCACAGGACTCGTCAAAAGCCTTTCCTGACATATAGAAAAGGACATCATTTCCACCCCAGCCCTCTTGGTCTCCTATCCGTCCAGATTTTTCTTTTAAGCAACTTCACATTCTAGGTTTACTCGCTGGCGATAGTCACCTTGGCTGGGCTGCAAGCCCAGTGAAGACAGGGCTGCTTTTTTTTGGTTGTTGCTGAGTTTTTGTTTGTTCGTTTGTAAGAGAGATTTTTGCTCCAGGGTATATATGCTCACTAGAGAGACAGAGAGAGAGAAAGACAGAAGACAGAAAGCAAGACATCACCTCTGGGGAGATGGCCATGCTGCGGTTCCTTCTCCATGTTTCTCTTGGGATCTTGGCCACGCATGCACAGGCACCTGGTGTGAGTTTTAAGCTGCCAGATCTGGGACTCGAACTGCGGTTGACTACGTGGAAGTCCAATGATGTAACCATTATGCCATCTGGTGATCCCAGGGCTGTTCTTCTTACTTAGTTATTCCCTGGTGAACCCACAGCTCCTAACATGTTGCTTGGCCTATCGTGGGTACTCAGTGAATAGAGTGAGTGAGTGTCTGTGGAAAGAGGAGTGTGTCCCTGGGCTTCACAGGATAAGGCCCTATGCCATCAGGAAAAAGGACACACATCGTTCCGATGAGAACTGCAGTTCAGGGGACAGGGACGGCATTTCTTCTTTTCCTTAGAAGTCGATATGCAACGTCTGTACAGTGTGTGAGGAAATGTGAGGAGGAAGCATTTTGTTAAAAAGAAAGAAAAAACGTTTTCTAGAGCTATCAATAGTTGGGGATTTTCTGATATTTTTTAAAGATCCCACCCAGTGAGTGTTTCCTCTCTTTCCAGGTGAGCGGTTTCCTTTGCAGGTTGAGCAGCCAGCCCCGGGGCTCTGCGAACAGGCTGGTTTCGTCTCTGACCATCACGTCATTTCATTACCATTTATGTTCACGTTCAGTCCCCAAGTGGGGCGAGCTCGCAGTGCCACATCTACCTGGAAACCCACCGTGGTCTGAGCTGCGCTTCGTTCCGGGCACAGCTGGGTCCACGTCAAACCTGTCTGCCGTCTCTGGGTGTGCATACTCACGGTGCATGCCTGCTTTCTTGGGGAGCATCACGCACCTCTCTTTGGACGACAGGTGTCTTGAATTTTGTGTGTACCAACCTCCTTTTCAGAACTAGTGCCCCGAGTGCAGGAGCCATAGGATTCCTAGAAGCGAGGCAGCTGGAATGGACTTTGGTGCCCATTTAAAGCGCATGCCGCTGTCTCGATGAGACTGGAGAAGTACATCAGAGTGTGTGGTCCGCAGGGCGAAAGCGTTACAGGCTCCTAGGAGCGGCCGGGGCGTTTCCCAGTGCGTCTGTCAGTTTGTAGGTCTTACGCTTGCCATGTGTGTTACCAAACTCTCTAACACGATCTTAAAGGAAGTCTGAAGTAGATGGGGGTCAGGGTGGGAGGTCTTCCTGTGAGCTACACGGGGGGAAGTGACCCCCTCTTCTTCAGTCCTGACTGCATTCCTTCACATCGCCAGTCTCCCACGAAATCGCAGGCAAGTTCTTGTCATCATGCTCTCGGGAGGCTTAGCTGCTCCTTTTGCTTCTAAATCCAACTTCTTCCTTGGTACCTTGATATGCAAGGACCTCCAGCTGGCTCCTGCCCAACCCTGGGGTGCCACTTGTGCTGGGTGCTGGCGGTATTCACTGCTGTATCCCCTGGGCTGTGCGTTCCCCCAATTCTGGTCCCCATGTCAGCTATCATCACCGACATCGGGGATACCTAGAAATGGAAACGCTCTTGCCAAAGTCATTTTCTGCAGTTTCCCTTAGGTGGCTCATTTCGTTTTCGTTTCTCCTTCTCTGGGCATTGCAGCTGACACAGAACCCAGAAGGAGTCATCTCTCCAGGGCAGACTTACCTGCCCGCGGCTCCCACGAGGCTGCCCGTGATGAACATTGAACAGCTCACCCTCAGAGCAAAGAAAACTGCACTCACAGATGGTTCTCTTCTCCCACCTGCGAGCCTGTCTTCCAGTCTCCTGTGCCTTTCCCTCTTTGTCCAAGAAGGGTGGTGACAGAGCAGGGTGCTATGGTTCAGAAAGGGGACAGCTACTGTTTGTCCCAACGGCGTGTTTCTCTTTCCTTCGGTGACTTCACTTGCTCTGTTTCTGGCTCTTCTTTTCTGCTCAAGAACAACCTCCCTCCCCTGCACTGGAGACGAAATGTGATGTGCAAGTGCCCGTTGGTTACAGCTTCTGCACGACCCACAACTCAGAGCACAGCCGCCACTCCATCTGGAGCTAACCCCTTGCCCCTCCTCTGTCACCACAATATCATCATGCAAGTGTAGATGAGAGTTGTGTGTCGGGTGAGAACCACCCACTGGGTGACGTCGCTCTGTCGTGCTCTTTAGGGGGCAAATTAGCTGCCAACGGGTATCTGGGTACCTCATGGCTGTTGCTGGAGCGGAGTGTGCAATCCGAGGTCTCGGCTCCACTGGAGGTCGGTTTCTGTGTCTCAACCGTGACGCCAGTTGTCCTGGCAACCTGCTGCTGGCATGTCCCTAAAGACAAGGAGGGAGGAAGGTTCGAGGAAGGTGGCCTCAAGGGGGTCAGAAAGATGCTGGCAGTCACCTTGCTCGAGAGGATTTTCCATTTCCTTCATCTGGGCAGACCGCCAGGAGGAGGATGTCACTTACGAAGTGTGTGCCGTGAGTGTCACTTACTAAGGATTGTGGGCCACCTGGCTTTGAGCTGCAGGCCACATCCCGTGGAGCATAATAAGGTGACTGATGGAGAGTGCAGGCAGAGTATGGGGACAGCTGGGGTCATCACAATCTCAGAACGCTAATGGCATCAGTTTGTCGTGTGAAGTGGGCTCATGTCCTGGCCGAGTATCAGCAGGGCATTCAGAGCTGGGGACCTGAGTAACTATGGATTGCAACCGAGGGTCAGGAGAGGGAGGATGAAGGGAGACCCAGGCTCCTTTCCTGTCACCGTGCCTGGCCAGAGTGCAGCCTGGTGTA